GCTGTCCAGTCTCTTCTTAAAAACTTCCAGTGTTGGAGCATTCACCACTTCTGGAGGCAGGTTGTTCCATTGGTTAATTGTTCTAACATTCAGGAAGTTTCTCCTTAGTTCTAAGTTGCTTCTCTCCTTGATCAGTTTCCACCCATTGCTTCTCGTCCTGCCTTCAGGCGCCTTGGAGAATAGCTTGACTAGAATCACTCTGATTCTACTGCATTTTCCTATGTTTTTGGTGAATGTATGTTTTGTCTATTGATATGACGTGTAATTGGTTTTCCATGTTACAGGCAGTGGAACAAACTGGCTTAGTTCCAGTTACTTCCTGGCTACATGGATCAGACTGTATTCTTTGAGTCACCACCCACTGCACCATGTGGTTTTGTTAAACCTATTGCTTAGAGTTTATACACACAGCACACGTAATCCTTTCAACAAATATGCTGTAATGGTGGTCATCTGTTATTATCTCCACTCTGCAGATGATTATCTTCTGCAAGGAAAGGGGCTGTCAGAGGAAAGATATTCTCTGGATATTATCCATATTTCTTATTAGCTATTTGTTTTCATCCCAAGTTGAAACTTCTGTTATTAATTTGCTAGTGCCATTAATGTTTAAAGTAGGCATTTTTAAAAAAATAAAAGGTCATTTCCTGCAGAAAGTCTTAGAGTAATTCACACATGTTCTACTTAAGGGAAACAACTCAGCTTCCTGTTTTTTCCCCCTGGTTCTTCCTTTAGGTAGTGGGATCATCCATGCCTCTGATTGGAGACCATCAGGAGGAAGATAAGCAGCTGATTGTGGAGCTGGTACTGTCACGTATGGCCCAGGTCATTCCTCGCACACCAGTGCCCTCCCCTGTGCGCTCTGCTTCAGGACAGCATGCCCAGGTATTATGACTTTGTTTTTCATCAGAAACACAACAGTCGTCATTCCTTTTTTTCTGTTTTTCCCCTGCAATTTATGATTAGTCACTACTTACAAGAAATTGAAGGAAAGGAGTCAGAAGGAGGAGGAAATGCTGGCTCAGAGCAGTAAACTGTCATAGGGAAGTTTACAGTAGGGTTCAGTTTATGGCAACAGTAGTGGGGAACCAAGTACAGGTTGACTGCATAAGGACCAGGGTTAGTATCTGAAATTTCTAATTAAAGTTGGTGAGTCAAACAGAGGCAGAAGATTTCAGCATGAGGGACTCTTTGAGCAAAGTGTTCCTACTGCTGGATCAGATTGTGTGTGTGTGTGTTAGTCCAGTATTCTGTTTTTGACAGTGCACAGTTAGATGGCTTAGGAAAACCTATAGGATGAAGTCAAAGTCAACATTTCTTTCTAACTATTTGATCTCAAGCACCTGGTGTTCCTGCATAATACTGTAGAGATTTCACCTAACTGCCATGGATAATAAATGTTGGTAGATTTGTCTACTTCGAATTTGTCCAGTCTCACTTTCAAGATCTCAAGAGGAGCATTCCTGGATGTTATCCAGTGTTCTGTTTCCCACAGTAACTGCCAGCTAGAGGCCACTGTGAATTTAACAAGTGCCACCAGGTCCTCCTATTCATGGTTCCTAGCAATAGGCATTCAGAGGCATACTGCCTCTAATTCTGGAAGTATATAACCGGCTTAAGTAAAATGGCTATTATTAATGTTCCTTAAAAGCCATTGAAGTTGGTGGCTGCCATAACAGTTTGTATTGTGAAGAAGAATGCTTCTCTCATGCTTTGAAGCTTTTCCTTAGCTAAATTGCTATCATTACATCTGGCACGACAAATTTCAGCTGTTTAGAGACACTTCCCAGCCCTCCCCCATGTATTACCAAGCATCTGGGGAAAAGGAAGGGCAAGGAAAACTCTCTGTTTGTCCATCCATTCTTCACATTTTGCAACGAGTTTACATGGTTCCTAGTATTTGATGGCTCCAGTGGAGAAAGATTCCTCCATGTGTCATCTGTTCATTAATTTTTTTTGGATTGAATGTCTGAATGGGCAGCCTACTAGGGAAAGATTCAGAAGTGTTCTTGTATTGCATGGCCGATGCTACAAAGATGACAAAATATCGCAGAAATAGGAAAAGTATAGCTGGGTAGGTGGGACAAAAGGAAAAAAGGATGTATTTTGATGCATGTTCCTGCTTTTGTTTGTTTTCATTCATAGGCTCAGCCAGCTCAAGCTGGACAGAGACAAGGCCCTCCAGCCCAACAGAGACCTCCACCCCAAGGTGAATTATGCTTCTGGGGAAATTGTGGCTCGGGCGGGAGGCATCAGAATTTTTTGTTGGAAGGGGATTCTAGCAGATTAGGTAAGCTAAAACAGCTTTCCCTCTGTCTTTCAGGAGGACCTCAGCAGCCACCTCCAGGCTCCCAGCGCCCTCCGTCTCAGCAGCGCCCCCCTCCCCAAGGCCAACAACTCTCAGGCCTTACCCCACAGACCAGTGCTCCTGCAATGGGTCAGCGTCTGCCCAGCCCCACTACCCAGCAGCCCCCACCGCAGGCCCAGCAACGTCCTGCTGGGCAGCGCCAGCCTGGGCCTGGAGTCCAGCAGTCTCGCCAGCAGGGCCCCCCCTCTGCTCCACAGTCCCCCCAGCCCCAGAGAGGGCCAAGCCCCAGTGGCGGAGGACAGCAGCAGAGGCAGCAAGGTTCCCCCCCGCAGCAGCAGCGGCCTGCAGGGGCTGGCCTGCCCAAGACAGCATCTGGGGGCCTCCCAGGGCAACAGCAGCAGCCCCAGCAGGCACAGCGCCCTCCAGCAGCTGGCGGTCAACCACGGCAGCATCCACGGCAGGGCAGCCAAGGGGGCCTGACTCAGCAGCGCCCACCGGGAGCAGGAGCACAGCAGCAGCGCCCATCACCACCCACTACCCAGCAGCCGAGGCCCAGTACTCAGGGGCAGGGTCCTGGTGGCCCAGGGCAACAAGGGAACCGCCCTCCACCAAGCCAAGGAAAGCCACAACTTGCCCAGAAACCCAGTCAGGATCTGCCTCCTCCACCCCAGCCCCAGCTGAAGTAAGCGTTGGACTCTTGGGTTCTCTGTGAAGGGAGCAGGGTTTGGCAGGCTCCAAGACTTAATTTTTGCAATTTAGGGATTTTGTTCCTAGCTAAACAAGGGTGTGGTAGGTTGCCATGGTGATCTGGTACCCTCAGATACTTAAGGGCACAAACAGTGCTACATGCACTTTCCCCTAACACCAATTCAGGGTTAGTTTTGCAAATTCAGTGTGTTGTCATTTTGTGTCCTTTTCACTTTTGTCAAAGTTCACTAAGAGGTTAGGGGAGGATATTAAATGAGAAAGGATTAGGTGCAGTAGGATGACAAGGCAGGGCACTGAATGAAAGGTCACTTGCTTATAAGAAACTCTTCACTGACATCACTGCAGCTGTCTTGCTTTTTTATGTTTGCTTTTGTTTGCCACTGTGAGAACTAGACACTACTTTTTATACAAAAAAAAAAACCCCACACCTCCTCCTGAAACAAAAAAAAAAGTTAATTGATTCTCCACATATACAAAGTCATCCTTCAAAAGGACACAAAAAACTCACGTTTTAAGATGTCACGTTCTTGAGATAAAATTTGAAAAATCGAAATTTTTTAAAAATGTATGCCTAACTATATAAATCAAACCTTGCAGGATAAATTTGAAGCTGGAGGGTTAGCATAAGTTTAGGAAAGGTGTATTTCATAATCACTTGTGCTGCCTGTGACAAGTGTTTCCCATGTTTGCCGCCTCTAAGAGGGGGCATGGAAACAGGGATGAAATTGTTTGACCACTGAAAGTGTTGCCCTCACTTTCAGTTGGATTCGCACGTTATGCCAGTTATAGGAGCTTGGTTTTGTTGAGATCAACAAGAAGATATTTTTTTAACAGAGAAACAGCTACATAGGAAGGCAGCAGCACTTAGGGCTTCAGAAAAGCCCTTCTTGCTGAATAACGTCTTCAGATATTTGCTGTAGCTTTTTGTTTGCTGTAGCTTGCCAAAATCACAGAGGGAGCTCATGCTTCCCTGCTCTCAATTCAACAGGATCTCTCCGTAATGAAAAGAATGGGAAAGAAATGGGGTGGGTGGGGTGGGAGGGAGGGAGGGGGGGAGTTTCAATTAGAAGAAAATGCCTGAGAATTTCCCTCTCCAAATTCTTTCAGCTTTTCCCTCATGTTTTCCTGCTGCAGGATCATTTCCCTAGTATCTTTCCCTACTGGACACACCCTCCTTTGCAGTATTAAATTAGGGCCGGAGGGGTGGGGGCAATGCGGCCTCTCAATGGCCTTGCCCCCCTTTGGCGGCTCTGTGCTTGCTTCTTACCCTACTCTTGGAGAAGGAGGGCAATGAGTCCCAAACTCCCCTTTCTTCTCTCCCAGCATTTCAGACAAAGCAAGTTCTGTTGCCTGACCTGATTTTAATAGTGTGTTTCTCATTTCTCCTCTCCGTCTACCCCTCCCTTCTTTCCTGCCCCCCCATTCCTCCCTCACTGTTCCTTAGCAAATCCCAGTCTCTGACCAATACCTTCCCCCTTGCAGAGGCACCGGTGCCACGGGGCAGCCTTAGTCAGGATGAAGTGCGTGCTGAGAGCATCCGCAGCCTCCGACAGAGCTTCGCCAGCCTCTTCTCCGACTGAGAGACTTCCCCTCTGTACTGCGACCCTTCACTTCCCCGGGCCTAGTTCCCTTCCCCTGTCTTCTGAGACTCTGAACCCCGTGTCCCTTCACTGCTTTGACCAACCCCCTCCCCACCCCATGGGAATGCTCTTCCAAAATGAATCTATTTATTTGTTTATTTTTATCCCCCCCCCCCGCTTTCTTATTTTGAAGAATTTTTTTTCTCCCCTCCCCTTCATTAATGGCAATCCCATGGAAAGGGGGAAGCAATACGTATCCCTGGAGATCCCTGGTTAAAAGGAATGGCCCCTGCTGGAAATGGTCAGCGCTAGAAAATGGGTTGATACTAAATCCCCAGGAATACTCAGGCTTTTGAGGCCGGTCGTTCTGAATGTAAAGTGGGTTGGTTGGTTGGCTTAAAATTCATTTGTTTGTGTATTTATTTATTAGATTTTGTACCGCTGCTCATCTCACATGTGTGACCTCTGGGTGGCTTACAGTTGAAGAAGGTATCTGTACAGAGCAATTATCTGGGGGAGAGAGAGAGATACACATATATACAGATACACATATATACTGTACCCTAAATGCAACAAGAACTACACAGTCTTCTGGGAAGGAGGCTCTGTTTATGTTCCCTTAAAATCCTAAATCTTCCTTCTGCCACCATCCTTCGTTCTAAGGACCAATTTTTTGCTCTGTTTTCTATGACTGATTCTGTATCCATTTCTGCAGAATATACTATCCCCATGCAAGTTAAACCCGTCGATTATCAGAAAGCTTCCTTCCTTCCTTTCATCAGGAGCTCCCTTTTCATCTGGAGGCTGCAGATTACTCAAGTCCACATCTCTTCTATATAAATATGCAAACTTTATGCCTGATTCTCTTCTCCCAGCCTAGAGGTCCCTAGGCCTGGGAAAAAAGGGAGAGGAGAGAGGTCTCCAGGGATCTCTATATATAGCATGAGGGAGGGGACTTCTCCTGGGGCCATGTCTGTGTTTGTGGCCACAAAGATGTCTATGTTGCTGTTTGTGAATAAGCCAGTCAATTGCCACTTGCCCTTTGCACAATCCTGTTGTCCCCACTCCTTAGCTGCCTGCTTCCAACTCTGTTGCCTTGGCTGCAGGTTCTGCCTCTACTTCAGCAATGTGCAACCTTCTTCCCATGCGTTTTGGTAACCGTATACTTGGCAAAGCCTTAATCTAGACACACACCACCTTTCCATCCTACCTCACACTGTTTTTCCCCCCCACCTTCCTAGTAGCACTGCAGAAAACTCCCAATCTGTCACTCCACTGTAAGCTTTAGCATCTACTGATCATAAGGAAGGTGCTGGGCAGGGCCAATAAGGTACTTAGCAAACCTTTTGCTAAGCTGATTTAGAACCCAGCCATCATGGAGGAGAGACAATTGGCCAATGATTTCAGTTTGCGGTGGAGAATGCAGTTGTTTTTGTCAAGCCCATTTCCTGTTCTTCCTCCCACTTGGCCAATCAAATCTATCTGCTCTTCTCCCAAAACAGCCATAGTACTGCCACTATAGCCAAGGTATGCTTTTGCTATTTTGATGACTGAAGAAATAAAACTTCATCCCCGATGGACACACAAGGGGTTCACATCCAAAAGCAGAACTTGGTCCCCACCCTCTCCCCCTTGTATATAACTCAAGAGAGAAACTTCCCACTCTATTTTTGTGATTCTCCTTTATCCCTAAAGCTGTGTCAATTACTCTTGTCCCCTTCTTTGAAAGGTCACGGGGACAGGGGTAAAGCGCCACTTAACGCGTGATGGTCTGATAGCTGCAAAGTCGCGTGTTGTAGCTGTGTTGTGACATGACGCTTTGAGCTGTGTTTGCAACTTACTGTCAGGTTGGGGAGGGGATGCAGCAGAGGCTCGATCCCTGTGTAGTACACCCCCTTTCCATTCTTCAGCCTCTTCTCCCCAGAGATCTATTCCTTTGCCACCAAGAGATCTGGGAAGGACAATTTAAAGTGCTAACTTGGTATCTTTGTTATTTATTCTTGTCTGGAAAGTGCATCCCCCTCGCACACTATTTTTGTGGGAATAGAGGCCTTTCCTATTGCTGTGATTCTGTCTCTGTGAATCAAAGTTTCAATGGATCAGTGATGTAAAAAACATAAATAAATAAATATATCTATATTAAAAATCTGAAGGCTTGCTGGAAAAATGCATGTTTTGTCACTGGAATGAAATCAGTATACACATACAGGCACTACATATGAAGAGATATGAAGAGAAAGGGGTATCATGACATCAGAATGGAAAAGTGGATAGATGAAAGCAAGTATGTGTATTATGAGAACAAAGGGGTGTGGATTTTCTTCTGTCTATGTTGCCTCAAGGAGTCAATGACAGCTTGGTGTAATCTGTCCCTGTCGGTGAGCTTCCAAAAGTACACGTTGGTCCTGTTGAGATACAAAATGCTGGGTTACATGGATAGTTACCTTGATTTGATAAGACTCTTACTCTGTTTTTTAACTTTGTTGATGTATCCTAGCAATGAAAATATTTTTTGCAATGTCCCACATTCTTAAAAAAAGACCCTTCTTCACACTGAAACATGTGAGATCAATATAAAACATTACTTTAAAAAAACAGCATTTATTGTTGTATTACTTCTATTTTATAAACAAAATTCCAATGTAAAATAAGTAAGGGTATACTGTATGCAAACACACCATTTAAAGCAGTTGCTTGCTCATTATAGTAGTAAAATGTGGCTAGGAAGCCATTTTGTAAAGGGCAGCAGTCTCATTTGCTGCCATGGATCATGTAGTCTACTTTAAAAAAAATAGCAGCCATTTAAAGTCGAGGGGAATTTATGCTTAGGCTGTATAGCGTTTTGAACATAATAATTTCCAGTAAAAGATTTTGATGCTGTTTTATAGTACAATACAAAGCTACACTGAGTATTGACATTGTGGCAACATTGTAACGGATCCGAAAAATTAGATTGCATGGATGTTACTTCACTTCCCAACATTGACAGGGAAGAAACGCAGAGCTGACTCAGACAAGCATATAAAAAAGTAAATATTTATTTTGTTTATATACTGGTGTAATTAAAGGCTCCTGGAGTAGATTCATCCTTCTCTGTTAATTGTCTGGACAAGGTGAGTTTCTTTAGAAAACATATGCGTGGAAAAAGAATGAGCTGTGTCCATTGTCAATGCAATTCAAACTGATTAGAAATTACGATAATCCTTTGAACAGTTTTAACCAAAATAAATTGGTGGACTGAGGTAATCCTCTCTGTGATGCCAGGATACATTTGGGGCTCTCTTGGCAAAGAAAAGGCGAGTGGTAGGGTGAGTGAGAGGCATGTATCATCATGTATGTATCTCACATGAGTGAGAGGCGTGTATCAAAAATAATTTTTCATGAAAGAAAATGGACAGACACCATTTAAAGGGTTTTAAATACAGATACTTCTCATTTAGCAACCACAGTTGAGACTGGCAATTTGGTTCTTAAGTGAAGTGGTTACTAAGAGAAACCATAACTGTGCTTACCATCTTACTTCAGCTTACCTTTGTTGAAGAAAGGCCCTAAAGTTGAAGATTGGTTGTAAAGTTACTTTTTCATCACTCATAATGGGAAATGATTGCTAAATGCAGTTGCTAAATAAAGACCACCTGTATACGACTATTGGCCATTGGCATTACAGCAGCAATAGTTGTCTGCTTGCACTGTGTAATCTGGTATGCAAAAAAATAACTCATATAGTGTCATGCTAGTTCTTCCTGAGATGAAGGAGAGAGAACCATTTTAGAGTTCTTTCTAGGATAAGGAATGCTGAAAGTCCAAAAGCCAGGTAAGTTTAGCCTCACATCACACATAGGCTGTGGGGCCAGGCCACTCCACTTCCATTTGATGGCAGCTCTGATTGTGACTCTTTGTTAGGAGAAGAAGGGAGGGAGAAGCTGTAAAATGGGTTTAGCCTCAATAGAGTCAAGATGCTTCAAAATTCCAGTTTCTGGAAAATACAAATGGCAAACCTCTATGGTGTATTTCTTTACAGATACTCCTTAACTTATAACCATTTGTTTAGCAATTGCTCTAAGTTATAACGGCACTGAAAAAAGTGACTTACAGCACGTCCTCTCACTTATTACTTTTGCAGCATCCTTGCGATCACCTGATCAAATTTCAAGTACTTGGCAACCAGCATGTATTAATGGTGGTTGTAGCATACCAGGTTCATTGATTGCCATGTAGGACCTTTCTAGCCGGTTTTGGACAAGTAAATTCAACCGGGGAAGCTGGATGTGCTTAACAACCATGTGTGATTCACTTAATAACTACAGTAATTCGCTTAACTTTGGCAAAAAACGGTCCTAAAATTGGGCATGACTCAGCAACAGCACTTAGATTATATACCGCTTCGTAGTGCTTTATAGCCCTCTCTAAGCGGTTTACAGAGTCAATCTGGGTCCTCATTTTACCCACTTCAGAAGGATGGAAGGCTTAGTCAACCTGGAACCGGTCAGAATCGAACTGTCAGTTGGCAGAATTAGCCTGCAATACTGCTTTCTAACCACTGCACCACCATGGCGCTTACCATAGAATATAGATCATGTCTCTAGTTAAAACTAGAGTCTAAGGTCTATGCTCTAGTTATAGACCATAGACTCGAGTTAACAACTGCCTTGCTTAGCAGTGGAAATCCTGGTCCCAATTATGGTTGGAAGTCAAAGACTACCTGTATTCAACCTATTTGTATTCCATCCAACACCTAATGACTCTTATTTATTGTCACCTGTTTATAGCGTTTCTGGCGACAGGTTTGGCCAATGTAAAAAACAATAGGGTGAACTAACTAGACCTTTGGCTTGATTCAGCAAGCTTTCTGGATTGCCAGTGCTCCTTCTTTAGAAATGGCATAAAGAATATAATGTCTTTCCCTACTTAGATCCCTGTGTCACATTAGTTACTGTTTCAGGGCTTCCTGCTGTTTTCTCAGACTATTTATCATGCTTACCGCCACCATAATCATCTTG